AAAACATTACGCGGAATGGATCAGTTCAATCTCCGAACTGCATGTGGCGTCCCGTCTACAAAAATCTTTCAACATAGAAATGTTGTGATGATTGGTGAGATGATTCACAATTCACATACGAACACAACACAGAATCGTGAATTTTAGTGTTTTTGTTGATGATTGTGAATGACGATTTGTGATGCTTTCAGAATGAATCATCTTATAATGTTAACAACATATTAACAACAATAATGGATAATTATAATAACAATAGTAGTGAATAATAGATAATAATAACAGGTATTTTTAACCTATACTCATCGTAGAGTAGCAGAACAATAGTCTCTGAAAAACATGCTTTTTTTCTTCTAACAAAAGCGATTCATAACGACCGCACATGATTTTGATGTTGTAGTAGTTTTACTTTGATACTGATGGATATTTGTGTTCGATTAGTATTCGGATCAAAAAGAAATACATATCTGACGGTTGGTGAATGAAAAGGAAATGATGCATAAAGCGAAGAGACGAATGAGTATGAGAGTGGAGCAGTGAGACTGAATTGTTATGGTGAAGGATGCAAAAGAATCGAGAATTTGAGATCGTATAAATAAGCATTCAGCAATAAACGATGGAACAGTCAACAAGTTGCGATGATTATTTTGTTAAAGATGTTTTGTTCGGTGGTGTTGCTCGTTTCTTCGATTGCAGTTCAAGTTTTTGCATTGGTAATCTTTGACTATTTCACTTGTATTTTCCTTCCTTATTCCATTAGAAAACAACGCACTCAAATGAATTTTCTCAAATCTTTTGATGCATCATCTACCTAAATGAATTCACTCGAACTGATGAGTACCACTGAAATTGCAGCCTCGCGATACAGGCTCAGTGTTGACCGCACGATACGGTGACTTCAAAGAGGAGTGCTTCCCACGACCATCCGGTGGATGCAGTTGCAATATTAAAGATGCTCAAGGCAGACAATCTGTGCAGTCGTTCAGTGACGATCAAGAGTGCAAAATACCCATTCATGGTTGGTTGTTAACACTTAACAACTGTAATTAATAATACCTGTAATTAATACCTGTAATTACTTGCAATTAATACCTGTAATTAATACCTATAATTCAGATATGATCGAAACAGCGATCAAGAAGCAAGCAGTGAACGAAGAGATCAAAGACAAATTCGGTGCATTCAAAGAGAACTGCTTCCCGAAACCCTCAGGAGGATGTAAATGCAACGAGAAGATACACGATAAAGAAGTTGTGCACGTCTATGAAAATGATGAAGATTGCAGGGTGAATGCACCCAGTTCTGCTCAAAGTATATATCAAATTTTTTAAAACTATACTTATACCCATCAATAACCAACTCAAAATATTTACTACTTCAATCGCTTCATCTTCTGCTAATCCCAAACGCTTTAATGCTTTAATAACATCTTAACTGCCTATCGCTCTCTAACATAAAACAATTTCAGTCGAACTAAAAACAAGACTTAACAAACAGATACTCAATGAAGAAATACACCAAAAATTTGGTGATTTCAAAGAGAACTGCTTCCCGACTCCGTCGGGTGGGTGTAAATGCAATGAAGTTGATGAGGACGGCACTCAAATGGTTGCGTTTTATGACAATGTTACCGGATGTAAACTTAAATTATCCGATTCTATTCGAGGTATTATTATTATTTGCATACATCAGCACTCACTACTCTAACTGATACAGTAATTGTATACGTGCATTATGCTTCATACACCTCACTCAGTTAACTGCTTCGCTAACAAATCTAATTGCTAAAGAAATCGCTTTTCAAATGGATCATTAATGCCTACGAGTTACTATTGTTCATTGATCAGAACAAGTTTCGATTGCAGAACAAACAGTGGAGAATAAGAAGAAGTTG